TTTATTAAACATTGATTAATTTCTTCGAATTGATTATTTAAAGAAAATCCTCTTACTCGATAAGAAATCTTGAAATTTGCAATCCTCCGTCGAGAAAGCTATCTCAACTATTTCTCATTCGTAAAAGAATATTCTATCTTAGAATATATAAAAATGCAAATCAAATATAAATTGCATAAAATAAATTGCTAATTGAAGAGTCATGCCTTACATCATTTAAATTAGTTAGTAAAATAAACAAAATTTATTTCAAGTTCCCATGTCGTTAAAATGTCGTGTCGGATCGCACCACTTCGATCAAGTGATGCTTTCCACGCTCATTCTACGCATACGTGTTCTTGAAAAAAATTGAATATCTCATCAATAGATAAAAAAATACAAATGGAAATAAATGCAGTTGGAAATATACAAAATAAGATATTTACATTAAATGGACCTAAACATATTTATTAAATACAATATGAATAACTACATAATGTGTAAAATAAAATATTTGATATACATGACTAAAATACACATTAGAAAACATTACGGCTTAAAATATAAACAATACAAATAAGCTCATTCATTGATTTAAGGAACCAAAATAAAAACTAATAGAAACTTGGATGACCTAATAATAGTTATGAACAAATCAGAGCCCTAATAGTCATTTTAAACAAATACATACACTAGAAATGAAAATAACCCATAAAAATAATGTTTAAGGACTAAAATAACTTACACCAGAAACATGAAGGACTAAATGATAATTAAACCATATGCCAAACAGTTTCTAAAATGAATTAATTACAAATCTCGTGACCAAATTCTAACATTGACAAGAAATGGTATAATAACTAAACGTATGACTTAAATGTAAGTATTGAAAAATACATGCCTGAAACGAAATATCATTTTTCATTCAATGGCCGAATCAAATGATTACAAAAGAGAAAGGACCTAAACGGATATTACACCCTAACCAGAAAACATAGAGAAGGGGGTGTCGAAACGATACCTTTTCAGTCTATGTATATAAGCCCCAAAACGGGCTTATTTTCCCATTTTCTTCTCTATTTCTCTCTTTGCTACAGAAAAGGGAGAGAGAGAGTCTTCCAAACTCTCTCAACTCTACAAAGCCAAGAGACAATGAACCGTCTGTCGTCGGAGGGACTCATGGTGGTCCACGGCGGTGCTCACGACGGTGTACGGCGGGGCACAGCGGTCGAAGGAAGGCAAAAGGCTCCAGAACATTACCCCTCTCACCCGAATCCCCTATCTTTACCTCTTTTACCCTAAAAATGATCCTAGAAACCCAAATATGACGTTTACCTTTCAAAAGAAACACAACGATTTCGCGACCTTAGGGCTTCTACGGCTTCAAACTAATGTAACAACTCTTTCTCTCTATTTTTCTTTTTTGTTCCCTTTTGGTTCGATTATCTTTTTAGTTTTTTAAGATTCTCTCTTTTTTCTCTTTCTTTTTCTGTTTGGGTTCGAATGGGTTCCCCTTCTCTCTTTGTATTTTTTCTCTATTTCTATCTCTCATTTTTCTTTTTTCTTTTTTTTATCCCCTTCTTTTCTTTTCTCTACTTGATTTATGGTTGATTTTGTTGCTATAATTATGAGATCTATTCAGTAGGAGCAAGGCTCTTCTGACATTATCTCGGATTTGGTGGGATTTAGATAATTTTTGTTTTGGGGTTTGATAATTTGCACTGTAGGTGGTCACTGTTCGAGGAATGGGCTATGATCGGCTCGGGAAGCACTCGACAGCGGCTCGGTGGCTGGGGAGTTGAAGAGTTCCTGGCGATGGCGGCTGAGCTGGTATGAAATAGGGTTTTGAAACCCTACAGCTATTGGGTTGTCAAGGGGCTCGGGTCGGGTTAAGTGTTGGGTCACTTGTAATAGGTCTGAACCGGGTTGGTTGGTTTGGGCTTGTTGGGGTGATTGTTGTAATGGGCTTGCAATGTAAATTAAAATTTATTAATAATATATATATATATATATATATATATTAAGACCTGAACAAATATGGGTGTCTACAACTGCCCCTCTTTGCACATTCTTGTGTTAACAAGAATAAGGCAAAAACGAAAAAGACAACAAGTTTTTGTCTGATTCTCTTTTTCCTGGAAATTTGATGTGTTTGTTGTTGGGGATGACACTGCTCATACGTGATGAAGAGTTCTGGTCGTCTAAGGGTGACACAACTCCTACATGATGAGGAGATCTGGTCGGTAGATAACACGGTTCCTATGCGATGAGGACGATTTACCATCTTTAGGAATGGTGATAACACAACTCCTACGCGATGAGGATGGTTGGTTATCTAGGGGTGACACAACTCCTACGTGATGAGGAGGTATGGTCAGTGGATGACACGGTTCCTGCGTGATGAGGACGACAAACTATCTTTAGAGATAATAACACGATTCCTACGTGATGAAGACGGGAGGTTATCTAAGGTTGACGCGGCTCCTACGTGATGAGGAGGTCTAGTCGAGGGATGACACAGTTCCTACGTGATGAGGACAACTAGCCATCTTTAGGGATAATGGTTTCAAGAGAAACTGTCTCAAGAGAGACAAAATTTGTTTCAAGGGAAACGATCTCAAAGATGATGTTTCAAGGGAAACTGTCTCAAGAGAGACAAAATTTATTTCAAGGGAAAATACTCAAAGATGATTATTTCAAGAGAAACTGTCCTAAGAGATAAAAAAATTCGTTTAAAGGGAAATGACTCAAAGATGATTGTTTCAAGAGAAACTGTCTTAAGAGAGACAAAACTTTGTTTCAAGGGAAACAGACTCAAAGATGATGTTTCTAGAAAAACTGTCTCAAGGGAAACGATCTCAAAGATGATGTTTCGAGAGAAACTGTCTCAAGGGAGACAAAATTCGTTTCAAGGGAAACGATCTCAAAGATGATAAATTTTGTTTCTAGTGAAACAACTTCAGAATTTGTGTTTTAAAGAAAAAATGTCTCAAACGAGACGGAATTTTTTTTTGGGAGAAATTATCTCAAGCGAGACAAAATTTGTTTTCAGAAAACTGTCTCGAGTGAGCTGACTCTTTGTTTCAAGAGAAACAATCTCAAAGGTGACAAATAATCTACTTTTTCCGGCATGTGGAGGAAAGGCCTTCAGAAGATCTGATCGTTCACTTCAGAATGTTGAATATCCCAAGATGCCCCAACATTCATTATTTCTTGCTTCAACACTGATTCTAAGCATGAGCTTTGTGTCTGAGAGCTACATGTCAACTACCAAGATCCACTCTAGAGAGATTGTCTTATTTGAAAATCGTTTTTATTCTTTTTTTTATTTTCAAAAGTCTAAAAAATCAATTAAAAGGATGTTGAAAAATATTTAATCAAAAGTTTGAAAATATTGCCCCTTTCTGGGTTTTACCATTGAGATAAATCATAAAACAATAGTTCATTGAATATCAAAGAATTAATTACACTTTTAATCCTTCAAAATAAATTATATCCATTTGACAAGTGTCAAGATTAATGATATCTTTGAGGTATGGTTAAGTAGGGAAATAACAAGGTGTCTCGGGTTATTGTCTTTGGTCAAAGGTATGACTTTCTCGTTTTTTTTATTATTCACTGATCTGATAGAGTAGCTTTTATGCTCATCTACTAGAAGTGTTCTCCAACTCCCAGCTCTTATGATCACATTCGGGTTGTGCGATGCCTTATCAAGGGATTTGTGATATCACCTTTTTATACAATAGCTGCACAATCTTTATATTCGAGTCGTCTTTTCAGGTTTTCAACTAGAACCCTCCTTTAGTTTCAAGATATCTTGAACCTCCATTTGTTATTTTTTTTTATTTTTTTACATGTATCATGCATTAAAGATTTTAGAAAACCTCTTGTAAATAAAAGATTAATCCTTATAGACATGATGAGATCTGAAGATAGTCTCTTCTGTTTAGAAATCCATGTATGATTAGAAGGGACTTTTAATGCATGTAATGTAGGTCATGGTTCACGATTAAGAAAGAAAGGGATAAATAGGCCCAAACAAGTATTTAAGGGTAATTGAACCAAGGATCAATTCATTTTGATGCCTTCAATCTTGTCTTGCTTGATTTGAGTCTGCTCGCATGTTTTCATTTTTTGCTGGATGTTCCATGATCTTCTGGTGAACTGATTCTGGAATAATTGTGCTTGATCAATCTTATGGTTTGAAGCTTGATGCGATATTTTACTCAAGGGAATCTTTGCATGTGCTTCTTGTCTTTTTTTCTATCCTTCTTTGTTTTTTTCCTCTTTTCTTTGCTTTTTTCTTCTCTTTCCACTACAAGAAAATATACCTTTAATGACACACGAACGATGACACACGCTAATTTATGACTTACAAAACATGTGTGTTATAAAAAATGTCATGTTTTTTAAAATCTGAACGATTTATGACTTACAATGATATGTGTCATATTTAATAGTCATAATCCAAAAAATTTACAAAAACACGGAGTATAGATGAATTTTTTGTGTCATCTTTAGGAGTCGTATTCTAATTTCCCCCCTTATTTTTCATCCTTTCCCGCTTTTTCCCCCTCGTTAACAAAAGTTCACGCCGTGCTTCCCCCATTTTTCTCTCTTTTCCCTTTTTTCTATGTTTTCCCTTTTTTCTCTTTGTTGATTTCTATTTTGTTTGATTTAATGGCAAAAAGAGTTCATGATTTACCTAGAAACTGGTTTCCAAATTTGACTGCCATCCATGAAGTTTTATGAACACCACGCCTCCTCTAAAATAGTCTCTCCTATAAAACAAATATCTTGGAAATCTCCTCTCTTAAATCTTAGCATTCGATTTTCGTGTTGAGAGAGAGAAATGGACGCCCTTGACAACGTCGTAGATTCTTTGAGGGACTTCGCCAAGGACAGCGTCCGCCTCGTTAAGCGTTGCCACAAGCTCATTCGTAAAGATATCCCCTTTCTTCTTACCTCTATTTTTCTCTTTTTCCCTTTTTCTATTTGTATCAGTCCATTTTTCTCTTTAAGTGGGAGGCGATATATCTTCAGCCCAAGCAGTTCTACTCAGAGCTTTAGCTCCTGGTGTTAACGTCGATTCAATTACCTTGTCAATGATCTATTATACATGATATTTGCAGCCATTTGTATATAGTTTGAATCTTTTTGTTGTTTGAGTTTCAGGCTCCAACATGGAATACACTAAAATCGACGTTTCTGATGTTGGGTATTTGCCTTGCTGTTATGCTGGGTTTAGCTTTCTCCTCTAGTGGCTCTTCTTTGATTCTTCATGTTTCTTTCCTCGTTCTAATTGTCGTTGCCCTATTCTTGCTTCTTAATTGGTACTGTTTCTTAATTCTTTGCTAGATTTTTACCCAGTCAAGTCAATATTAAATTTTCTAGCTTTTCATTAATTTTGGAGTTGCATCATGTGTTGTTTATGCTTTGATCATTACATGAATGTTATTTTACTCAGATTCAGATTCGTGTGCGAGTGTTAGTAGATTCATGAGTATGGTTAACTTTTTTTTAAGATTTTTCAGATTCTAGTGCTGATTGTAATGGGAGTGTTAGATTCATGTGTATGGTTAATTTTTTTTAAAAGATTTTTCATGTATTTGAACTATCCTTAGTAATGGTGTCTCATATTCATGTGTCAGAGACGGATGATGAACAACATAGCTCGAAACAAAACCAGAGAACTATGTATGGGTCATTAGACAAACTTTGTATGTTAGATCTAAGAGCATAGTTGGAGAAACAAGGTATATTTTGCTATATTAATTATGTAAACTTAGAGGAATTTTGAGTGTTCTGTATTAAACATGATGAATATTGTAGCTTACAACTTTTACAATGTTCTTTGCCTCTATGTCATGTAATATGTTATATTTGATTTCAGTTAGGGTTGGACCTAACATGACATGGTTTAGATAACAAGTTTAAGTAGGGGGCTCGGAATTTAGTTTTGAAGATGTCGATTCTTGCATGCTTGCTTAGTTATTTTCTCAGTTTTAGAACAATGAAGTGGAGGGATGCAGCCTGAAATGAGTGTTTTTTTCTTATGATGATCTTTATACAAGTTTGTAATTTCATATGCATGGGGGATGATGATTCAGAGCAGCGAAATTAAATCTCTAATCTTTTTTTTCTAGTTGGAATCTGTTACTCTGTATACACCCTGAATTTTTCTGATTGGATTACTTATGTAGGTTCCTTGAACATACCGGTTTGGTTTCCATCGAACATCAAATGCAAGAGATGGACTTGATAGCGAAAGATTGTACGAGATAATCAACAAGAATCAGTTTAACTGGATGAATTAGTTGCCTTTTTTTCTCTAACATTTGGATAGTATTACAAGTGAAGATGTCATTGAACACAAGGCAAATCACATCGGAGACACTCCGATCATTAGCTCCTCTTCTCTTCCTTCTCCTTATGTTTGCTCTTTACGCACTCAATTAGGGGTATGTATCTTCATTTGATTTTTTCCTCATGCAATTCCTAGATCTTGGTCGCACTGGGAAATTTTTACATCTGTTTCGGTAACAACAAACTAACAAGACACAAAAAGTATAAACAATAAAATTTTCAGTTCTATTTCAATATTCTTTGTTGGAAAGTTTTACTTGCCTACCTTTTCTTTCGTTTTCTTCTATATTTTTGTGATAATATGCAGGTCGGATCAGATGGCTTGTCTGTTACTCTGGGTATTGCTGCTACTATTGTATTAGGCTTATTGGCTTTTTCAAAGGTATGATTTTTTAGCAATGTTACTTGGTTGTGTGTGTCGGATAGGGATATGTGTCGGAGACCGGTAGGCTCAATTTTTCCAAGTTATGCATTTAAATGGTCCTTGGAGGAACATGTCCTTACATGCTCGAAAAATGTGTAGGCCATGAGTACTTTAAGAGAAATGAAGAGTCCGAGCAGTATAGTTTTTAAGTCCCTTCTATAGTCTTGGGTATTTTTCATCAAAATAACTCAAATAGTGTTTTTCTCCCATCATCTTCAGGTAGAAACTGTTTTTCAACTTGTGGGCTCAGCTGCTATTATTCAGTTTCTGAGCAAGAAGCTCCTATTTGTAGAGGTAAGTCTCCACTTCTATTTGAGTATCTCTCCATGAATTTAATTAAAATCAAGTATTTTGTGCCTTAGTTTTTCATCCTCCTATTTGTAACAGGATCTTTGGTTGGGCAAAGCCCTGACCTATTGATTTTCTTATCGCTTGTTGAGAAATGTTGGCAAGATATTTGTGATCAAATGTTGATGATTCGTGGTATAGCCTTGTACTTGGACATAACATATGTTAAACAAAACCCAAATGTGAGTTCTTTGTGGGACATGGGCCTGCAACTCTTCCGTAAACATCTTTCTCTAGCTCTAGAAGTTGAGCACAAAACTATCACCGGTCTTTTAAGAATGATTGAGAGTGAGAGGTAACTCTAACAAAATTCAAGTCGAAATGTACAAAAAAATTTCCTATTCTATTTTTTATGGGTTTCAAAGTAACAACCTATGCAAAAAATGCAATGTTGTTTCAATGTTACTATTCCTTTGCTTGTTTTACTTCTTTTTCTATGATTTTAGTGGTAGAAGGTGGTTACATATCTTCATTTGCAGATGGAAGTTCCTAGAAAGGTCAATTAGGATGCATAGTCAATTTAACTATAATCCGCTTCGTTCTAGCTCATTTTAATTATCCGTGCTTCCATCATTTTCAAGGAAAAACCTAAAAATTGTTGAGAAACTTACTATTTTATTGCTTTCTTTCTTGTAATTGTCATGCATTTAGTTTCCTTCCACATAAATTTTGCCCCTTAGTTTCTTGGATGATGTTAGTAATTAATTCTTATCTTTCAGGTGTTAATTAAATTTGTATCTTATAATCCACTGTGTCTGTTTTGATCATGCAGGTTAGGTGAAGCAGTTGACAGGACACTACTTAACCATCTTTTGAAGATGTTTACTACTTTGGGCATTTACTCAGAAAGTTTTGAGAAACCTTTCCTGGAGTGCACATCCGAGTTTTATGCAGCTGAAAGAATGAAATATGCATGCAGCAATCGGATGTTCCAGATTACTTGAAGCATGTAGAGGTGCCTCTTAATATTTCACTTTCTCAGTTAGCAGTGATTGTTACTCTGTATTTTGAATTGTGCATGTTTTATCCTTCTATAAAGAATGTTAAATTTGTCACATTATTCCATATATATGGAATTTTAATGTTTATCCCTCTACCATTTTTGTGTAAGTTTATGTAACTGTTTGTGTCTATTGATACATATGAGGTTACTTGTATCGTGAATATATTGTATACAAATGGATTGCTTATATATAATATGATATATATTTAGTATTACGAGGCATTAAATGTGATTTAGTTTGATTATTTGTTAATATATATAATATATATATATATATATATATATATATATATATAATTTACGAAATAAAATCACGACACACGATTGTGTGTCATTTTCATTTATGACGGGGGCTTCAATGACACGCAATGTAAGTCATAAATGCGTGTCATAAATTTATGACACACAAATGTGTGTCATCTTTATTTATGACGGGGGCTTCAATGACGCGCAATGTAAGTCATAAATGCGCATCATAAATGTGTGTCATAAATGCGTGTCATAAATGTGCGTCATAAATTTATGACGCACAGTTGCGCGTCATCTTAAATTCATGTCGGTGGCTTCAACGACAGGCAAATGTGTGTCGTCCGCACCCATAGATAAAGCGCAATGCACATCATTAAAGAGGTTTTTTCTACTAGTGTTGATTTGATCTTCACACTCTGTATTTGGTTCACCTTGCGGTATCTTATCTGGATGGATGTCTTCACTCATACGAGTAGACTTCCTCCACCTTGCCCCCCAGTGTGGAAGGTGATCCTTGGTTAGGGTTGAATCATAATAAAATATAATTTAGGCTCAAATTGGGACACAAGGGATATATTTTCTCCTTTTATGAAGGGATAATGAAAGAAAGTCATTCATCATTTCATACACAGAAGTCCTTGCAGAAGAGGTATCCCCACGGGGATAGATATTCAGGATTAATTTTAATCACCTGAAAATAATGTAATTAATGCATGATAGAATTATTTCGAATTAATTTCCTTTTTTCTGCTTCTTGCTTCTAGCATATCTCAATTGTTTAGGCTCATCTTCAGGAATTTGATTCGAGATGCTCCCTCTTTATGTCTTCTTTTAAGAAGGTTTATTTTAAAGTGAACATCTTGTACTCAATGCCTTTAGGTTTTATTGGTAGAAAAATATTGGTTTTGCGTCTAAGAAAATGATGGTGACTTTATTGGCTTAAAGAAAGGTATGGGTATGACTTTTTGTGTCTCAAAAAGATAAAGGCAATATTTCAAAGTCTCAAAGATGGATATTATCAAAATTTGTTCTTTTGGTAGTGACCACAAATTATTCTGGGCAAAGAATCGAGAAATTTTATTTTTTGGTTTTAGACAGGATAAGAAAGGTCTAATCTTGATATATCTAAAAATCCATAATTCTTGAAGAATTAAGAGAATCCGTAATTCATTTGATATTTGAAGAACTAAAGATTAAAACTCGTTCAAATATTCAACCTTAAAAGGTAGCACAAGTTCAATTATTAAAAGATTAAGCAAATATGAAAGAACAAAAACGATTTCAAACAAAACAATGCTCTCAATGCAAGTGGTAGATGCAATGCCCACATCATTCTTCGATTGCCCATGCCCCCTGAATCCATCAGATTTTGGATCTTGCGCTTCAGTGCCTTATAGCTTTCAGCAGAATGTCAAAAGCTTCTTATGTGGTAACTGCACACGACTTCAACATCATAAACCTCTGGATATGGGGACTCTTTTTTCATATCATTTTGACAGGCTCAGTCCTACAACCAGCTGAACATGCTCCCACCGTACTGAATGATGTTACGTGAATTAGGCACTGAAGCGCCAGATCCAAAATGTGATGTTACGTGATTAGGACCACTTCATTGAGTCCTCCATGAATTAGGCACTGAATGATTTTATTTTTTAAGCATTTTCACATTTTGCTTCTATTCTAAATGTGATGTTACGTGATTAGGACCACTTCATTGAGTCCTCCATGAATTAATTCCAAGTTTTCATGAATGATGCATGTGAAAATGCTTAAAAAATAAAATGCAGATGCAAAATGAAAAGATGCAAATGCAGATGCAAAAATGTTGATCCCAACGATGAATATCGTAGAACAATTTTCACCAGATATAAAAGCTTTCACATTACAAGATAGTCCACTTTACAGACATGTTTTCATTTAAACGCTGAATCTAAAATAGGTCGATGCTTCGTCACAGATCTTCTTCCTTGAAAACAATACCCCTAAAGCACTCTGTAACCTAACTCCGTTAATGCCCCATGTGGTGTTGAACTCATGTGTCACTCCTTGGTAATTAGCGATGAAATGATCTTAGATAATACTCTATTGCTGGATTACTCCTCGGATCAGTAGATCATCATTTCAATCTCAAATATTGCACGATCTTCGAGCAAGTCTCATTCGTGCACTTTGAACTTCTTTTAGCCCTCAGTACATGTCTGTATACGCGAATGCTTGATTGAAAACTTTTAGCTCTTCTTGTGAAAATTTTCTCTTGAATATCCCCTTGCGGATCAACACTTTTACATTATGTCATGTTGATGAAATGTAATGCAAAAAATGTGAAAAATGACACAAACAAAAGAAAAGAAATAAGTTAGTACAAGTAAAATAATTGATACAGATAAATATGTTATTCAGAGATGAATATAACACCCACCCCGTCATGATATCTACAAGAACATGCTTTTATTAAATAACATTCCTACATGGACATGCTTTCTACCTACAATTATTTATTTCAAGAAAATAATCCTAACCACATGGTATCTAGTTCACATGATGTTATTCAACAATATTTAAAGCAAAAGGGAAAGGTTCAGAAATGCCCCTCCTTTGTGTACACCTATTTTGGGTACCTACTGACGGACAGATGTTCGGTATGACTATACCTTGGGTGACCATTCTACGGTTCATTATATGCATGGTTTCAACTCTATGAAGAAAGGGTATTCGAATTTTCCTTGATGTCGGTGCCCCCTTGGGCTGCCAAACCCTCAATCCTCACATATTACATGTTTCGAATGAAACGAGTTCAATTCCAGGGGATTCATGTCTTATACCTATACGAGGAATAAATCCCTATGAAGGTATAAGGTACGTATCCCATGAGTTATTTGCTAAAACTTATACGAA